AATAATGTGTTGCGAAGCAAATTCATATTCTTCAAAACATGACTGTCTAGTTCCTTCGTTTATCCCTAGTCCTCTCCCTCTCTAACCTCTCGGCGGTCCTTCACAGCGAGTCTATGACGCTTGGTGCGTCACCGCGCCAGTGGTCGTTTTTGGAGCGCCGACTGGCGCGATTCTGCTCACCCCAGAGCGAATCAAGGTCTTTCGCAGGATTTTTCTTGTGTTGTGCGTAATCCAATTTGTTTGCTTCGCTATCATTACGATACAAGGCGACGCCTTTGCGTGGACTTTCATAGCTGTTGCAGTAGTTCTTTCGATTGCGTTGGTATCGTTTTACGATCGGGGCCTGCCACTCTTCTCAGCGAAATTCAAGCATTTGGGAAATCTGTCTTAGGATTTGAATTTGTGCTAGATGGGATGACGTGTGTTGAGGACTACTTGGACAAAACTGGCGCCACGGAGAAGGATATCTTTCACGACGATCAGACCGCGACACGCTTTTGGCCATTGGGAAAGAATGCACGAAATACATTCAAATTTGGTGAGATTGATACTGTTAGATGAAAGGATAAGACCAGCGCGACCTGTTTGACTTCTTAGTGTAGTTATTCTTCCTATGTTGACTAATGTTCGTCAGATTGTTGAGCAGAACATACTTGCTATTGCTTACAGCTACGACAGTACAACTGCAACACCCATTACTATCGTCCACCTTAATACTCCCACACCTGCCACTTCAATGCCCACTCCTCCAGGTCCAAAAAGTTCACGGTAGTTTGGAGCCGGAGCATTATTTTATGGGTTATCGACAGAGAGCAGCTGGGACAGACGGAGCAAAGGGCGAGTTGAAGCAGCGCTCTAACTCGTTGTGGATGTTGAAGAATTCGCTTGTCGAGAAAGTCGCTGATCCGCCAACGAGAAGGACGGGGAAGTAAATGACGACCCTCACCTTCATGAAAATGTTAAGGATAAAGCCTTCATTTGAAAACGTTAACTAAGGATGATGAACGTCAACGCCTCAAAGAGTAACAATAGCAGGACAAGGACATAAAGAATTTCACACAGCGATGAACTAAAGACATCACGACAACAATGAGCAGCAGCTTCTTTACATCTTGAATAGGTAGCGTCTACATATTTTCAATTTCATCATCAAAGTGAACAAATCAAGACGTATCTTCAGTGCAGCATGAGCATCAAAATACAAAAAGATGAATTTCACACATAATATAATGCCAGTATCACTACATCAACGGAACTCTTCAGATACCAGCCTACTACAGAAAACATTTCCAAAACTGCTCAAGAACTTCTTCTACCCAACTACTTGTATAGCGATTATTTCATCAGGACTTACGACACACATACATCAATATCTTCAAGGACTGCATAGAGATCCACAACTGCCTGGTAGTTCACATTGGAAGATACCAGCACCCGTGTCCTCGACAAAGAGCAACGTCTTCTATTCTTGTGGGCTAAGCCTCTTTTAGGACTAAAATGAGTGGTGCTTCTGATGGTTTCCCAACATGATTCGGCGCAGGGTTCCACGAGGCGGTCTCTCACGATGCGCAGTTGAGTGAGTGGAGAGATGAGCGTTTAGGTTTTTCTACTCAGTAGGTGCTTGTCAGACAAGGCCACGCAGATACACAGAGACAGACTGTGCGAATCCGTCGAGGGAAGCAAGAGAGTGAGAAACTGGAAATCTTTGAGTAAGAGTGGACTGCCTATTAACTTACGTTTAGCATGTGTCTACTAACTAAGGCTGCATCGAAGCGATTTTCCAGCCTACCCTTGTTTCGAAAGTGGAAATGTCATGAAGATACTCATAGTTGATCCTACGACTACACGTGGAAGCTGTTATGCTTGAAAGTGATGTGTTGATCCGGCATTGATGGAGTTTCCTCTGCCACCGTCCGTCCATGGACGAGACGAGACTTCAGACAGGACAATCGTGAAGACTTGAGTTACCCCGACATCCTCGAAAGAGCGAGTTGATGTTGATGAAGAGGCGCCACCACCTGCGTCTACCTATTCTTGCTGGGGTCATCCTCTTCATTGCTTGATGTGCATGTGGTTAAGGAGCGAGCAACATGGGTAACACCGCGATCAGCCCATTTCGAGGCGCAGCTGCGAGTTCCGTTGTGCCTCAGTCGCGCTCGAAGTTGGAGTTGCAACAAGGACAGCTCCATGGTCGAGAGCAGCCACCAGATCTGGTCGCGCCCTCGCTGGCACATCTGCGACACATCGTCGATAGCGCTGGCCCTAAACTCTCACTGCAGACCTTTGAGGTGAAGTTATGTCTACGACACTTAAAAAAATTTTTCAGG